CCCAGATAGGAGACTCATTTCCAGTGTTCAACATAGTAGGACATTTGTGTTTCAACTTTGGCACCCAACTACTATCCTGAATCTTAGTAAGCTTACCATCCCTGATCTCTCTTGTCAGACCTTGAGCAAAAACTGGTATTATCTCCACCCAATTGTTCCAAAGCCAGGAAGCAGATTGACTCTTTTTAACCTCAAAGATTGAATTGTCTGGATAGTACCTGGTTTTCAGCACTTTACTGACTAAAAGGTTAGGCAATGTGGTAATCCTCTAGAGTTGTTTCAAAAGGATAGCCTCATTAAACACCTTATAGTCTTGAAACCCCAACCCTCCACCGCTTTTTGTTTGAGCCAGTATGCTCCATTTTCTCCAATGTATTCCACTCTCTAGGTTCTCCCCCTTGCTCCACCAAAAGGCTGATGTAACCCTGCTCAGCTCCTCACATATCCACTTAGGCAGTCTGGTTGAGTTGTGCTGTTCAATTCCCTGAAGGAGTGTACACAATGCAGACTTCAATTGAGGGTGAGTATTTTTGCTGAAAAAGGCTGTAGACTTGTTCAAATTCACCCTTTGCCCTGGAAACTTGTGATACACATGTAGGATGTCCCTCAGCACTCCCACTTGTCTGATATCAGCTTTACAGAAAATAAGGGTATCATCTGCAAACAGCAGATGGGTGAGAGTTGGTCCTGTCCTTGCAATTCTGATTCCTTTAAATTCTCCATTGCTGGCTGCTCCACTTATCAATGATGACAGTACCTCAGAAACAATCAGAAACAGATAGGGGAAAATAGGGTCTCCCTGTCTGAGTCCTCTTGAGGGAGTGAGATAGCCTCTGGTTTGACCATTTATCAGGAACGAAAAGGTTGGAGATGAGATGCAAGCATAAATCCACTTGACAAAGATTGGCTCAAATCCCATTTTCAGCATAGTTTTGCAAACAGCTCCCCACTCCACACGGTCATATGCCTTAAGCATGTCCAGCTTTAGAGCCATGAAGCAATTTTTACCTGTTCTATGCCTGTTGAGGTAGTGGAAAATCTCCTGAGCTATGACTACATTGTCCATGAGCTGCCTGCCTGGGATGAAGGCTGCTTGTGCTTGACTGATACAACAATCCAAACAATTATTCAACCTGGTGGCAAGAATCTTGGCAATTACCTTGTACACCACTCCACATAAGCTTATAAGTCGAAAATTGTTAATGGATTCAGAGTTTAGACACTTTGGGATAAGAGCCACAACAGTATGATTCCAGTACTTTAAAAGTTGCCCTGATTCAAAGAAACTGGTCACTGCTCTGCACAAGTCCTCCTTCAGAAGTGGCCAAAAATGCTGATAAAAAAGGGCAGTCATCCCATCTTCACCAGGTGCCTTAGACGGGTTCATCTGAAAGAGAGATTTTTGGATTTCTAGCTCTCCCACTTCTATCTTAAGAGCTCTATTCATTGTTGAGGAAATAACTGGCCTTATATGCTGCAAAGCCACATCTTCCAGTTGGGAGCCTTCTGAAGTAAAAAGGTCTTCATAGAACTTGAGAATGTGCTCTCCTATTTCCCTTTCAGAATTAACCTCTATATTCCCATCTACCAACCTGGCAATAACATTCTGTTTCCTCCTTTGCATAGTCATAGCATGAAAAAACTTGGTATTTTGGTCACCCTCTTTCAGCCAATGAATCCTTGATTTCTGTAGCCAGAATTGTTCTTCTGAGCAATGGGCATCATCAAGCTCTTTTTGCAATTTTTCCCACTCTTGCCAATTTCTCCCTCCTCCCAACTTTCTCATCTCAGTAAGCTTCATAGTGAGACTGTCAATGTCTGCTCTTTTGTTGGAGTTCAGAGCTTTATTCCACTGTATAAGAGCAGCTCTAGTCTTTTTAACTTTCTCTTTCAAGATGAACATTGGAGTACCTTCAGAGTTTTCACTCCAAGCCTGTGAAACGGTTTCCTACACTCCCTCCCTTTGGATCCATCTCTTGTCAAAATGGAATCTTCTGTTCTTGTTTTGCATTTTCTGCCCATCTTCTATCAGCATTAAGCTATGATCTGATGCTGTTTTGATAACATTTTGCACTCTGGTTTGGGGGTACTTGCACATCCACTGGTATGTTACAAATGTTTTATCCAGCACTTCTTCCACATACCCCTCTTCTTCTCTATTATTACCCCATGTAAACTTGTGCCCCTCCATCTGCACTAGACACATTCCCATCAAAGCAATGAAATCATTAAAACCTTGACAACTTCTTGCAGTTCTGATATTTCCCCTTTTTTCTCTTCTGGGCTGCTGAGATCATTCCAATCCCCTGAGATAAATGTTCAACTTGATTAATAATCTTTCTAACTCTATAACTTGTATCAATTTATAAAAAATCCAAAACTATAAAACTATAGTTTTAAAATTTTAATTTGAAACTCAAAAGATAGGCCATTTATCGATTTGGGGTTTGAAAGAAAAATGTCAAAATTTCAAACCTAAAAGACTCAAAATTATCAATTGTAAACTTCGACATTAAATTTCTTTTACATTTTTTATTTATATTGAAATGCTATTATTTATATTTTTTATAGTTAATGCGGCATACAAAAGATTGCTTAAATTTTTACCACTTGGTATGCTTTTATTTATATGTTAATATTTTTATTTACATTTTGAAAATTATATTAATATTTTTAAATTTGTAGTTTAAGATATTTTAAGTCCTAAATCAATAAATTTGATTGATATTTTTAAATCTCTAAAGTTTCGAATAAATAGACTTTAATATTTGTGACCCAATTAATAGTTAAAATCTATCCGAGACTCAAACTTATAAAACTTCATTATTTCTTTTGAGAATTTTTCCAATCTATAAATTACATATTATGAATATTATCCAAGATCGCGACATTGTTAGTCGACTGCAGGTCAAGGTTAGTCATGCTGATGGAGATGAGCGCAAGTACCTTAGATTAGGTAATGGAACTCGTAGAACAAGAAGACTAGAGGTTGTCGCTAGTGAAGTGGCTGCGGAACCCTGTAATAATTCGAGACCAACGAAGAGATCCAATTGCAAGAAGAGCCATAAGATTTTCCTACAGAACGACCAACTATACAAGAGATCATTTTATAGGCCCACACTTGCGATGTATGTTCGACCATGAAAGGGAATATGTTCTCAAGGAAGTCCATGAAGGATGGTGTGGAGATCACAATCAAAACAAGAGCTCTAGTAGGGAAGGTACTACGGGCGAGTTAATTCTGGCCCAGGACGAGGGCTATGGCTTGCGACCTCGTCAAGAAAAGACTTTTTAATACTTTAAAATTTTTGATATATTCGATTAGAATTTTTTGAGACTTTCGAAGAGTCTAGTTATATTCAGTTGAGACTTTTACATACTTTTTATAAATCTATAAAAGTCTTAAAGTATTCAATTTAAACTTTTTGGGAGTCTTTATAAGTCACCCGGTATTTAACGTCGGAATACTTTATGAGACTTTCTATATTATATGACTTTTAGTGACATTTGTAACAAAATTACAATGACAAAATCCTAACAGAATTTCATCAAATTGATGAGGTTTTGTTGGACTTATATAACTCATCATACTCTTTTTCTCTATACTGTTATAATGCACACGAGTATATACCTCATTATCATTTTCATACTTTATCATTTTACTCACTTATGCTGATAACTTGTATAATTTTTATTTTCATCACTAATATTTAATATAAGTTTTTTATTTATTTATTTTTTATTATGTTTATTTTATGTGTGTATACTTTTATTCCCATTTTACTTCCTTATGAATTTGACTTTTCAAAGGTTAAATGTTTGTATATTTTGAACTTGCCAATAATTTATATGTTCTCTTTTTTTGTTTGTAAATTTTTATTTTTAAATATTAAAATATTTATTTTATTTACTAAGAGTTTATTTGTTGATATAGAATTAATTTGAGTATTATTGATAACTTTAGAAGATACGATTACTGTCTTTTGACATTGTTTGTGTCTTGCAAAAATATAATCTAATAATATTTTTATAATATTACAACAAGATGGAAATTTTTTTGAAATAAAATAAATATATCTTGACTGGGTTGATCATAAGTTACACTGTAGCAAAGGTGTGTAACACAAGTTTGAGTTTGTGCTCAGTTAATAAACAAATGAATATAAAGTCTGCTGGAATTCAATTCTTTGAAGCTCGAATCAACTTTCTTGTTTAATAAATTTAAAACCTAAACAAGTTGTTTGTGAATAACTCCGTTCAAATAACAATTCTAGGATTTATTCCCATTTTTTATATGATGATCCTACAAATTCATTTTTTTTTTTTTTTGTTCTTGTTGACTTGTAAAAAAAACCTAGCTTGTCTTTATCGATATTATTTGTTAATTGTTATGCAACATTCATGAGTATTTTACGCAAATATAATAGTTATAACTACAAGTATTTAAATGTCTAAGGGTTTGTTTGGAAACACTTATTGAGAAGTCCATTTCAAGATGAACTTTTTGAAAAGTGACTTCTCGAAGTGTCCAATATAAACTTATTTGAAATGAACTTTATGTGGGAGTTACTTTTTTAAAAGTCTATTTTGTTATTTACACCAAACATCTTTTATATAGAAAATATACTTTTATAGTCAAAAGTCCATCACAAAAGTGCTTCCAAACACACTTAATAAGTTTCAAAAAGTACATGATAAAAGTCTTAAAAAGTCTAATAAAAATTATCTAAAAGTCTCAAAATGTCCACCAAATCCATAAGAATTTTACAAATTCCACCAGTCACCCAGATTAAAGAGTGTTTACCAGTCCCAATCAAATACACCCCTTAATCTTGCATCCTGATTAAGATTTTTCATTTTATTTAGTACAATACTATGGCACAACATTATCTATGAATGGTTGATTTGTGGTTTATTTTTTTCATTGATTTCTAGATTATATTGTTTTTTGGTTTATGAATTGTTTATACCTGATTTTATTTTTGAATTTTGTACTATTGCAAAAATTTTCAAAATGTAGTGTAAAAGAGCCACAAAATTAAATCCATAACAACAAAACTAGCACAAAGCAGTAAATTAAACGAAATATCAAATCAAATATATGGCTGGATAAAATAGACAGAAGAACCTGTATAGGATCAAAAATCCTACAAGTTAGTACACGTTATATAGCCTGCCAGATTGGACAAAATAGTCGGCCTCGATAAATTTTAAAAGATTTCACGAACTTCAACCGCAGATTTAAGGACCTCACTATTTCTTCTTTACTGGAGCAGCCTTGGTCTTCTTTACAGATTCCTTCTTATTTTTCTCGGTTGTTTCCTGTATTAAGTGTACAAGAGAATGCTTTGAAAAAAAAAATGCATGATAATATGTGCATTACATGACAGCTGGGGACCAAGACCAGAAAACTAAACGAGTCTATAACGAAAGCATACATCCAATTAAAAACAGTCGTACAATTGGCTATCAGGAATTTACAATGAAACCATATCTGAAATGTTCAATGTAACAATCAACACGAGAGCTTTGATTAATAGGAAAATACCTTTCGTTTAGCGGGTACGGATGTGCTAGCAACTGGTTTAAAGAATGATTCTAACCTGATGAGGAAAAAAAAAAGAGTGAACACGTGGCAATAATATGAAGGCAAGAGCTGATTTGGATCATTAATCGCTCAATAGTTTTATACCTGCCTTGGGACGATTTGTTCTTGGCAGCTTTGATCTTTTCAATTGCCTAAACAGTTTGATGAGACAAATGTCAGTACTGGGAAAATCACTAACTATAACATAACTAAAATGTACATGTAGACATGCCTTAGTTATTCTGTCACTGTTGAATCCATTTTCATTCACCAAAAACGTTAGCAATCCCTGAAGAAGAGGAAAGAAGGTCAACAATGAGCGAAAACCATCCAAATAGTCAATTGGTTACATGCCAAAACAATCTAAAGATGTTTGCGAAAGATACTTCACCTCTTCATTAGGAGGAGACCACTTGAGATCAAGTTGTTCATCATCAGTGAAAACAGATGGTTCTTTGAAAAGTCTTCGAGCTTCCTTGTATGGCCAGTCGTCTGGTATTTGGTACCTTAGAGAAAATAGACGTGTATAGCAGTCAGAAAAATCTTATACCTACATGGAGCATGTAATATGTCCATGCAAATAAACTGCTAATATAACACACAACCTTCTTTCCCAAATCATTTTTCTAACAATTTAGTGAAGTCGCAGGTGGCAAGACACAATGTATTAATAAGATCAGAGCAATAGAAACCTAATAATAATCCTCAATAATTTTCAAGGTGATCATGTTCTAAATAGTGTTTACAGACAATAAAATGTATATCATAAACAGCAAAGAAATCATGGCCTTCAAGCCCAAAAGGTAAATTCGATCCTCAATGATTTCAAAATTGATGCATTCATATATACTGGCAATGTTGTAGTTACTCAGCAGTCCAGAAAGACAGGCACAAATAATAAACATTGTATAAAGCAAGACACTCAATTCTGTAAATATAAATGCACAAATAAGATTAATTTGGAAGCATCCACTTCAACAATCTAGCCCAACACTTTTTATAAGCTAGCAAGCATCTTCCTAGCTCTAAATGAAGCCACAGGGAAACATAACACCCATGGCATATATAAGGGAAAAATAAGACCCATGTAATATTTCAAAGAGCTCTTTTATCCAATATAGTTACTTGCCAAATTATTGAATATCCTCTGAAATGACAAGATATTTTAAAGTCTTTACATCATTCTATTTGGTCGATAGAAATTGAATTAGTTGATAGAGAGCTTATTGAATTAGCATATCAGATTAGGTGATTATACACAACGTTTGATAACTAATTGCCTATTTTATATGTAAAAACAACAAGTAAAATTTAGAAGTTGAATGGAAAACGCATTTGCAGCATAAACTACTTAATTTAAGACCTTTTGAAATGAAAAGAACTAGGGATCACTTGATAATAAAGCAACTTCCAAGTCGTAGAACCATGATCACAAAATCCTCCATGTGAATTAACTGATTTTGCAAAACTATAGCATTTGATGAAACTACGAAGCACCTTTCTTTGCTAATATTCTCCAGAATGTTTTCGATCGAACCATGTTGGCGAATCAGCTTCAAAGCTGTCAGTCCCCCAATACCTGAGAAATATGACAAGCTTATAATTTTTTAGACAAACACCCACGGAGGACTCTTACCCCTGCCAGCCAAGGGGTGTACACATGAGTAGGGATATTATGACATCATATGTTAAAGCATAAATGCGATTGGCATTAAATAGTATCTAGAGTTTTTTCTTTTTCATAATATTATAATATAGACCAGGACAACTTACTTCGCTGATCAAATTATTTGGCTGATGTGACAAACAAACTCAAACCCACATTCAGTTAATTCAATATAATACCAAAGATCTTAATGCATAATTAATGAGCACATCATTTAATATTTTCTTAAGTAAAAGAATGTGAACATGAGAAGACCAAAAAGGATTGTAGTTTCAATTTACATAGTCAAGTTAATTCCATTGCCTACACTATCATAACCGTGTTTGAAGTGTTAGGTAGTTTATTGTTGAATTTTGATAATGAAAAATACATTAGCTGTTATGCATCAAGTTAGGAACAAATCATATCGTATTTTATAGTTTAGTTGGGATTTCAGCCTGTAGGGTTAGAATACCCATTCGGGTTATATTTAGGGTAATCGTGCTATTAAAGTAGACTATCGATTGTTAAGTAGGTTTATCAATTATGGAATTGATATTGTCGGCTTTAGGCTTCAGCGGGAAGTTTCTTCCTGATTCAGTGCTTTGATTGGACTTCTTTGAAGCAATCTTCTTCGACCCCGAGGAGAAGGCTGATTTTCAACGTCCGAGGTTGCCATGCATCAAGTAAAAGAGCAGATCTTAAACTATTTAATACTGGGAGGTCGTGGTTAGTGCAACACCCATAAGGCTAAAATATTGAGGGTTAGATTCGATTTAAGTAAACTATCGTTTGTTAACTAGGTTCATCTTTTTGTGGAATTGAGGTTGCTGCTTTAGGCTGGGGCAGGAAGTTTCTTTCTGATTCGATGCTTGAACTTTGGGATAGACTTCAACCATTAAAATTGTTTCTTCTTTCAATTCAATTATATTTCATATTTGTGTTTTTCTTAAATCCTTAAATTGTAAGCAGATTGTTGCTAGGCCTCATGATGTTAATTAGCACAACTGGTGCACCCAAAAACTCTTGTAAGGACTATTTATGGCAACTAATAACAAACTGAAGAAAGAAGCTGTAAATATACAGTCATGACTCGAGCATTGTTAAAAGGTCCAGAGACTGAGCAAAAGAACTCACTCTGGGAGTGGAGCACACAGGCTGCAGTGAAATTACTAAGCTTTGACGTGATACTACAAGAGTGGTCCAACTCATAAGGATAATTATAAGAAAATATCTTAAATATGGATTATAGTTGACAATGTTTTATCACAAAACATGTGGAAAGGATTACAAGTTAAGTGCACCGACAGAGAAAGAAAGTAGTCAACAGCGGGTTTATTTGGGGTCGATTAGTATAGAGAGCACTCATGACTTTGCATTTTAGTCCAAAACAATGAAGAATTAGAATATACATACGCTTTCTCTTTCAGTGAAGATACTTTGTCCTTAAGAAAATGGATAAATATTTCCAACTTTTAGCTCTACTTTAAGCTACCAAGCTAATGAGAGATGCCTCTTCCGGCAAAAACCCAAGAGAAAGCCATCTATCTGAGTGCAGACTCACTGAGAAGAATAGAACAAGTCTAGTTTCTGAAATATTTATGGTAAAGAAATGGAACAAAACAAAAAGAGAAGAAAAAATTGGGAATTTCTAGCCATTCACCCTGGGTTAGAGAAGCTTAGTGCATAAATATACTACAAGCGTTTGAACCGCTATAAGTATGGGTTGACTTTAAGTTTTTTGCCCTATTTATACATTCACATGATGTCACAGATACTCTAATTCTCCTATTCATGTGGTGCAACTCAAGTGATACCTAAATCAAATATGAATCGGTAGAGTACCTTACAGACAGAGCCACAAACAATTTCCCCAACAGTGAACTAAGTTGCAATTAATTAGAATTTTAGAATAAATTATCAGACCCCACAACATTTTCAACACAAATAAATATTACCTCGAATGCTATCACAATAATCGCAACCAGAGAGAATGCAGAGGTCTATAAATTGATCCATTGTCAGGTTCAATTCCTCCAGCACCTATGGAATATTAATGAGTCAACAACAGAACACTTAGATTTGACCAAATAACTTCTTAGTACCTTTGAGACTTCAAATTCCATCACCGGGATCTTTTTGGAACTAGGATCCATTAAATGACGCAGAAAACGTGGAGCTCCAAAAGTGAGGGAATCCATGTCCTCAGAGGCGACAGCATAAACCTGAATCCGCACAACAAACTTCAGAGGTACTTTCTAAATCTTATTATGTGAGATCATTTAATGCACAAAAATCCATTGTTTGAGCATCACTTATTAAGTAGAGTAAGAGCTGCATACGTAAGGATGATGTGGACCTATAGCGTTAATTCCTCTACCAAATGTCAAAAAATATTTTTTGAAATGTAGATACATACACTTTCCTTTAAGAAGTTATTAGACAATAATAGCTTCCAGTGATTAACATAAATGATTCGTCTTAGTTACCTGTCATAATAAAATAAATGGCGACGAAAAGATTTGTCCACTATCTGCAAATCAAAAGTAGTGGATTGTCACAACAAATATACAATACCTTGCCTGATTTACAAAGGGCAGCACATTGTGCTTCAGCTTCGGAAGGGGCCTACGGAAGACGATAAGAAATTTATCAAACAGACCAATTTACTCTCTGAACCAAACGAATAGAATAAGTTCCAGAAGATGGAAGATAACGGCAGATATATGAACCATTTCAAACCAGATATAACATAGAAGAACTTATATCATTGCACCACCTCTATCACAGGTACTCCCATAAGCCTAAGAAGCTTTTTGCAGTCTTCATTATGTTGCTTAGTGACCTGTGTAACCAAAATGTGAATGTCTGAGAAGCTCCAAAATGAGCACATTCTAGTTTAAGAAATTGACGCAGCTGAAAGAGAAGAAAAGACAAAAAAACTGAATGGGAAAAACCACAACCACTAATATTACATGATGCAACCTTGCATTGTAGAAAGGCATGTTTAATGAATTCAAGCATCAAGCGCATCATTTAACTCCACTGACTTCAAATAAGACATAGTTGTTCTCATCTACAAGACAGAAACGCGTATCGTCTCGTGTCTGCAGCACTGACGAATACTCAATACAGGACTAAAAAGGATTACTAACTTGAACTTATCCCAAAGTTCTCAACATCATTCTTATTATCCCTTCCGAAAAGAAACTATTTCTTATTTTTCAAATCCAAAAATTTATCGGTGCCCTTATGAGAAACTATTATGAGTTGAAAGGAAAATGACTGAGAAATTCCTATTTCTTTTATAGTAATTACTATAAAACTAAGATCACTTATTTCATGTATTGTCATAAATATATGAATGCTCCATTTCAGGATTGCATCCAACAATGTATGCGACACATAGAAGAGCCAAATTAAGATTTACAACAGTTAAACTGAAAAGACTGCAGAACTGAAGGATTAAAAAAAATCATAGAACTCATTAAACTCACCTTTACAGTTCTTTTACTGAATTTTTCAATATCCTCTTTGTTTCCAGTCTGTAATAACATGAAACACGATACAAAACTTTAACAAGATATATAGACACAAAACTTTATGCACCGAAGGACTCTAAAATAAAAACTAACCTCTAAAGCATCATTTAGGTCTTCAGTAGCATCGGCTCTTTTAGAATATCTATATCGAGCAAATTAAAGATACTCAATATTGATCAACCAACCATTAAAAATTAGTAACTCCAAGTAGAGAATATAGATTGAGTTGGAGCTTTAAATACCGTTTTGCAAGTTCTTGTTTCTTCAGATCAGGAGGCTTCCCATCGAAGACGTAACTAATGTATAAAAAGACTAAAATAATTAGGCAAGCTCAAAGATTTTCGAAAATGAACTGGTTTAATTCCAGCTTCCAAAAGTCTGATTGTCCTTGTGAACATTCCTTGCAAATGACTGAGAAAAAAACATTAAAATTAGTAATATAAAAAGGGAAAAAAAGAAGATGGATAAAAATACAGCACAATAGCAATCAAAACAAAGATTGATATAGAATATAGGAAATTTATCTGATTAAACTACTTTCTCTCCAAAATATACTTTTGAAACTAATGCTAAACACATGAATGTGACTATCATAATGCTCCTGTCCACTCTCCATAATTTACTGTTGTCCCCACTGTAACAATACGAGTCTTTCCATTGCCTTTATCATGCGCTCCTCACAGAGCATTCTGTATCTGCTACGGGTTATCAATAAACTTGCTTTCTGGTACATTTCTTGGATAGGAATACTATGAAATCAGCTCAGTGAAGGTGGAAAAAAGGACCCATTGAGAAAAAAAATAAAAAGTCATCTAGGTGCAACTATAACAGACATTGCAGAGACAATTTTTTTAAAAAGACTGGTTGAATACATAGATGAGCGGGTAGTCTTTACCTCTCGATATGGCAAAACTACAATAACTAAATTTTAAATTTTCAATTATTACTTGTGTTTGTAATTTAATACTGATCTTCGTCATAGAAACCAGGTTGCAAGTAAAAGCCACATACCTAGTCACTTCACCAGATTCATTGGTGAGCATTTCTGTGCCACTTCTTCCAACAACAATCTACAATTATCAATCACCATAAAATCAAAATCAAATCAATTCGAAATGTAGGCTAAGACTTTGCAATTCAAACCATTTCAAAATTATTGAAAACACCATATATCCAAATCAACACACTCCATAACAAACATGAACTCCACTTAACATGTATTAACTCAGACAAGTATTTTCGAACAAATCACATTTAAACATAGTCAACAGAAAGAAATTTCTTCCCAGAGCCCCAAAATCATTTCTCGAAATACCAACAAAGATTGACTTTTGTTCTAAAATGAAAAAAAAAAAAAAAAAAATACTCAATGAGTGATTACAAACGGACAGGGGCGTGCACTTACAAGGAACTGATATATGCTCATGCTGGCATCAACGGCAATTTTGCGGCCAAAATAGCTCTCAAATTTCTGCTCTTTCATCGCCTTTGGTGCATTATCAGCTAATAGCTTCGTTAAACCCTTAAAATAATTGCAACGACAACAATTTTAAGTAAACCAAATGAAATAAATAAATACACACAAAAAAAGTTAAATTATCGGTACAAGGCATCCATTTATTCCCATTTCATTCGTCATAATACTTAGAAAACTGCAGTGAAATTGCGTTACAGTAGATTAGGCGAAATGCATATACACACACCAGAAGAATTGAATCATCGGTAAACAGGCATACCTTTATTCCCATTTGATTTTTGAACAAAACTTAGCGAATGCAGTGAGTTTGCGTTACAGTTAGAAGTTAGAACTAAGAATATAAATTAGGGTTTCTGATCTTTCCCGCCTCTTTTAGACAATGATACTTGGCAATGGCAGCCTGAAGCGGGCTTTTTTATTTTTCTTTCTTTTATTTGTGGGAGGGACTAATGTATTATAAGAAATGCTACATTACCAATCCAGTGTACAACTAGGTTTGACAACACAAGTAAAAATATCTATAAAAATAAAAATAAAAAAATACACATGTGAATGTTTTCCACTTGTGTTGTCAGCCTAGTTGTACACTAGGTTGGATATGTATCATTTTTCAATTAGTATAGTACTTGTATGATCTATGCAGCATTTATTACCTATTTGTTTTTTAAAATATATTTTTGTATTTAAATTATCTAATAACATTAGAAGTATCATGAAAATAAAATTTATATACACACTTCTTTATGTACAATTTTTTTGGTTTGATTTTTTGGCGCATAAAATACTACATGGGTGTTCGAATTTTATTTAAAAATGCGTGTTATTAGTTATTAGTTAACAAATTACGTTTTAAAAAAATTAAGTGATCTTATTTATCAAACAAAATTCTAGTAGAAAAAAATACAGATTTTTAAGAATTTTCACGCCATTTTCTTTTTATTCTAATTCAAAATTTTGACTAAGAAATATTGAAAAGAAACATTTGTTTTTCCTACCAATACATCGATTTTTTTGATTTTTTTACCAAACAATTGATCCGAATATTTGATTAAAACAAAGTGAAAAGAGTTATCATTTTTTTTTCTAAAAATGCAACCAAATTTTCCTAATATTGCACCAATACTTTTTCCAAACAAATTGAATTGAAATTATGTCTAGTAAAAAATTGAAATATTTTGTTACGATTTATGCAACTGTTTCTTTTCTAAAAAATTGTTATGAACTTAACGAAAAACTTGATACAAACTTACCAAAATCTCGATAAAACATGGTTAAGAAAAAACATAAGAATCCAAAAATCGGTGCATTCAAATTTTGAAAGGTTGCACATGATTTCCTTGCAAAAGTTGCACACAATTTTGAAACTGAATTGATTTTTATTTTTTTTCCAAAATAACTGGATAATGTTTGATTTTAAATATAAAAAATGAACCGATTTTGTTAGAAAAAAATGTGGATGCGATCTTGAATGTATATCCCGTCCAAATCTCAATATTATTTTAAAATTAAAATTTCATGTCGTTTTATCCAATTTGCCCATATTTTTTTTAAAAAATATTTAAAAAGATTTAAAGAATTTGTTAAGAATTATACAACCATTTGTTTTCTAAATTTATATCCAATTTGCATGATTTTTAAATTATTATGTTTTTAGATTTGTTTTCATAAATAATTGGCACATTTTTTTCAAGCAGGACGAGGTCCTGAACGTACAGCGGCGCGTTCACACTAGGGGCAGTACCGTAATTAATCAGTTTCTTTTCAAGCAGGACGAGGTTGAAGTTATACAGCGGGTACCGTCCCTAGTGTGAACGCGCCGCTGTACGTTCAGTACCTCGTACCGTCCCTAGTGTGAATGCGCCGTTGTACGTTCAGTACCTCGTCACTTCAAGCAGGACGAGGTTGAAGTTATACAGCGGGTACCGTCCCTAGTGTGAACGCGCCGCTGTACGTTTAGTACCTCGTAGTGTGAACGCGCCACTGTACGTTCAGTACCTCGTCAGTTCAAGCAGGACGAGGTTGAAGTTATACAGCGGGTACCGTCCCTAGTATGAACGCGCCGCTGTACGTTCAGTACCTCGTAGTGTGAACGCGCCGCTGTACGTTCAGTACCTCCAGGACGAGGTTGAAGTTATACAGCGGGTACCGTCCCTAGTGTGAACGCGTCGCTGTACGTTCAGTACCTCGTAGTGTGAACGCGCCGTTGTACGTTCAGTACCTCGTCACGAGGTACTGAACGTACAACGGCGCGTTCACACTAGGGACGGTACCCGCTGTATAACTTCAACCTCGTTCTGCTTGAAAAGAAACTGATTAATTACGGTACCGCCCCTAGTGTGAATGCGCCGCTGTACGTTCAGTACCTCGTCAACGTACAGCGGCGCGTTCACACTAGGGGCGGTACCGTAATTAATTCCCTAGTGTGAACACGCCGCTGTATGTCTACGAGCGCAGAATTGATTCCGCTGTACTAATAAGCAGGACGAGGTACTGTAACTACTTCGTCCTGCCTGCTTGAAAAGAAACTGATTAATTAACAAATCTCCAAATTTGTTAAAAAAATAGGATTCAAATTTTGGTAGAAAATAAAAAATGATGTGAAAAAAATGGGATTTAGCTTTTGGTATAAGAATCTCCAAATTTGTTACAAAAGAAAATGAGATTTAGATTCTGTTACGAAAAATTCACATGTGTTTTTCAAAATTTCCACTTGTTAGAATGTTCACTTGTGAGTTGTCCAATATAGTTTATATAAGGAAAATAGACCTAATTTATAAGTCTAATGAGCAACTCCTTCTTTTACTAATTGGTTTTGGGATAGAACCCCACTTGGACTTCATCTGGGCTTTCCTTACTTATGGTGCGCTTATTCACTTATGAGTTGTCCACATCGTTTCTATAGGAAAAATAAGTCTAACTAGTATTTGATCCTGTGGATTTGCGCATATATAAAATATGTTTGTGTTTGTATTTATTAATTAGACATGTATTTTCATCATATAAAAATTATTACTTTTTCTTTTGGAGGGTAAAAAATGTAACTTCTTTTGGAGTAATTAATTATATCTATATATATACATAATTACTAGCTGATGCATTTAATAAAATATTTAATAAATTTTTTTTTTTCATTTTCCTCCAGAAGGAGTTACATTTTTTTTAATTAATTACTCACTAATCTAATTAATATAATAAAAGTACCATGTCTAAACATGAGTTACATGTTTACTCAATTACACACTAATCTAATTAATTACTCCAAAAGGAGTTACATTTTTACCCTCCAAAAGAAAAAATAATAATTTTTATATGATAGAAGTACATGTCTAATTAATAAATACAAACAAAGACGTATTTTATAACTGTGCAAATGCACAGTATCAAATACTAGTTAGTGAGTAATTGGGTAAAAATGTAACTCATTTTTAGACATGGTTCAAATTAATTAGAATAGTGAGTAATTAATTAAAAAAATGTAACTCTTTTTGGAGGGAAATGAAAAAAGGTTTTATTAAATATTATATTAAATGCAACAACTAGTAAT